GTGAAGGTGTCACCTGCCCAGCGAGGAGACACACGAGTCAGAGAGACCCTGCTCAGGGCAGGAATCCGACTCAACTGACCTTCATCAAGAACTGAACTGGCATTTCATCCCATCCTGCCAGGGCTGTGGTTATGAGGATGTTCATGAAGGAGCTGGCAGGGCAGAGGAAAAGCTGTGACCTTCCCAGCCAGCGACTCCTCGTGATTCTCAAGGAGGGCACCAACCCTCCTTTTCTTCCCAGCTGCTTCCTGAGCTCACAGCTAGATAAGGCTTCCCTATGGATGCATCCTGATCTGCCAGGAGCATCTGTCTCCTCCTGCTCGTATAAACCAGCCAGGCTGACCCCTCTCCTGCACTGAGGGAAACTCTTGCTCCTCTCACCTGCTCTCATGAGCTCCTGCACATCTGCACTGTGCTTGAGCACGATGCCATGACGGGGAGGTTTCACCAGCTCAAAGAAAAGGCCCTCAGGAGCTGTATCCGTGTCACTCACAGCCAACTGGATCCCTGTGCCAGGGAAAGACAGCATAGCTGATGTGAATGGAGCCAAAAAAGCCCTGTAATTCAGTCAGTACAAGAAAAGTAAACAATGCTGGAGCTCCCCCAGCCTGAGAGCTACAAGTTCCATGGAAATAATTTGTGCCCTGATGATGCTCAGGCTGTGTCAGGGAATTCTCTCCTAGACTAGCTCTCAAGTGACCCCTGGGCAAATGAAGCTGGGCCTCCTGGCAGAGAACTGAGCCCCAGCCCGTGCCCCATGCACCCCACTCACCGATGGTGGCTCTGCCCCCCTGGCTGACCTCCAGGAAGGGAGCTGCGATCTGGAACACTGGAGGCTGCTGCTCAGCAGAGAGCAGGTGGATGACAAACACCATCTCCGGGCTCGTGTGCTCCCCACCAGACACTAGGCACAGACAGAAACCATGCCTGAGTGCAGGGATGGGTTTGCAGGGACCCTTCGCCTGGGAAATTCACCTGTCTGTACAAAAAGCGCCATTCCACATGGCTGACTCATCTCCCACCTTTATCTGTGGGCATACACACACTTCACCCAGGCCAAGAGCATTTCTCTCTGCCCCTAACTCAGAACACGGACTTCCCCTTGCTAGTGGAAGCCAGAAAGCACATGGAAACAGAAGGATGTGTTAAACAAGCAAGCAGCTTATCTGTGGCAATTTAATTGTAGAAATGTCTCCATGCTGTATTAAAGAAAATGAGAGCGTAAAACTCCTTGTTCACACTGGGGGGACAATGGGGATAAATCAGGCTTTTAGGACTGATTCCAGGCAATCACTGGAAAAAGATGTCTCTAGCAAGCTGCAGCAAGCTTCTGTAAAGCACTGCTGGGAACCTGACAAATTAATATTCCCCAGGCACGTGCATTTCCAGAAATTCCTACCGAGTGCCCACAGGTGTGCCTGCAGCAGAGCAAAGGCCAAGGGGCAACAGGCAATGGGAAGGGCAAAAGAAGGATGAAAACTGCTGTGGCCAGGAAAGAAAAAGCGGCTGACATATGTCACAGACATCTTTTGTGAAAAATCCTTTCTTTAGGATTTTTCCTTCTGGGAAGCTGAGGCCCCAAAAGAAGAATGTAAACAATGGTTATCTGCTGCTGTGGAATGCAACAGGTGCACCTGTGATTGGCCCATGCTGGATGTTTACAATTAAGGGCCAATCAAAGACCGAGCTCTCTCAGGGACAGAATCGGAGAGAGCTCCTTTGTTTATTCATTCCTATTCTCTTCTTAGCATAGCAAGCTTCTGAGACTTTTCTCTCTATTCTTTTTAGCATAGTCATAATGTAATGTATATATCATAAAATAATAAATCCAGCCTTCTGACCATGGAATGAAGACTCTGGTCTCTCTCTCACCCTGAAAGAGCCCTGCAAGCCTGGCAGCAGCCATACCTGTGAATCGGAAGCTCACGGACTCCGGCAGACCTGGCGGGACAAGCACAAGCACAGAGCGAGGCGGTCAGCACGGGAAAGCACGCCTTGCCGGGCCTCGGAGGGTTGGGGGGATCTGAAGGGCTGATGGTAACTGGGCAGAGCCTCTCCTCAGCAGGGAGGAGCAGAGCAGGGCCCTGCAGGGGCGCTGGGAGCTCACCTGCGAAGGAGAAGGCCGTCATCTCCCGCAGGTGCGGGGCGGCGGCCGGCGGGCGATACGCNGAGCGCCGGGGCCGAGGTGATGGTGACGGTGAACATCTGCCTGTCCAGCCTGTTGTTGTCAGCATCCAGCACTGAGAAGTGGAAGATGTCAGTCACGGGCTGATTGCTGGTCTCAAATGCAGTGGAGTAGCTGCGGGATGAGGACATGGGAGTCAGGGAGCCTCACTGACCCCAGGCACATCCATCCCATCCTCTTGGAAGAGAGGGGGTGTCTCAGCTCCCAACCCTCCATCGCTTTCGTTCCCTGAATTGTTTGAAGTAGCCCAGAGATCCCTGGGGAAAAGCTCAGTGAGCTTTTAACTGGTATGGCTTGAGGGAGAACAGTGTTCTTTGCTACCTGATCCTCTGGCTGTTGATGTCTTCCATGGTGAAATTGTAAACCTTGGAAAGCTCTTCGTTGTGGGAGCCTGGTGTCCTGAGGAGGGTTCCATAGGCTGGCAGAGATATCAGCTGGATTCTGATCTCTGAGTCAGGAGAGTTGTTGTCCTAAGCATGAAGAAACAAACCAGATGAAAACAGGGCAGAATTAGCCATTGCTGTGTCCTGCTAAAAATAGAAGGAAGAATAAGAGTTTTATAGTTTTATACCTGCCTAGTTGGGTCATACCCACAGATGAATATTAAGTGAAACTCTACTGATGAGAAGAGAGTCAGGAGGGTTGACATTTTCAAAGCATACCACGAAATGTATTTTCATTTTCTCTCAGCTCAGCAAGGCTTTCTCTATGTCCTTGTGTCTCGTTAACACAGTCTCCCAGACATAAGCCTGGTATTTTCATTTTCAAAGTACTTCACAATGAACTAAAAGCTGATTTTGTCTCTTTTCAACCACATTAGGTACAACCACACTGTGGTATCACAACTCAGATGTCATCTTTCTTAGAAGAGTTTTGTTAGGTGATTGAAAAATAAGGCCCAGAGCAGAAATCAACACATCCTGAGCATATGGGTCAGAAGTGAAATCTTCTTTTCCCTATCTGTGCTCTCATTCAGATTAAACATGAGCATCTCCCTAGTCAGCCTTCCTCCTTAAGAGGAGGACAGGACAGATCCCAGACTTGTATTCAGACTGATCCCTTAAAAAAAAAACAAAAAAAAAATTCCCAATAATCTCTCTAACAGCCAGCCTCTCTCAGCTCAGATCTCTCCAGCCTTGCATCTGTACTGTGATCTCTCCTCCCTCAGGAGGGTGCTACATCATCTGCAAGGAGTACAGAGCTTTCTTGGGAATGTCACCAGCAGGATAACTCCTACACAGCCCACAAGCCCTGGGACCAACTCAAGCCACCAAGCTCTGCAGCATCCTAGGGTTGTTTACTCCTTCCCCCTTCCGATCTGCCCAGAAAAAGGTGGCTGAGGAGGCTCAAGTTTTCAAGGGATTAACACTTGGCAAATCCACGTGCTTTACTAGCAAGACTGTTTGACAGAAAAATCTGGGATTAACTAGGTGCTCATGTTTAGCATGGCAGTTCACCTCTGGTTCAGTCAAATGGGGATAACCTTAAATCCCTGTGGGATGAAAGAGTCTGTTATCCTCTCTTTGGCAGCAGCCAAAACTTGAGCTCTCCAGCCAGAATGCATGCTGACAGCAGGGAGGTGTGTGGGGGATAAGGAAAGGGAGCTGGCAGCATTCCCTGGGCCTAGGANTGCCTGCCCTGGGCACTGGGAATCCCCAGGGAAACACCTGCACCGCCCTGGGGACAGAGCCTGTCTGGCCCTGGTGCCCTGCCTGCCCTGGGAACTGGGAATCCCCAGGGAAACACCCGCACCGCCCCTGCGCTCCCTGGCAAAGAGCAGGGACAGCCCGCCAAGAACAGCGCTCTCCTCAAGCATAGTCCTGGCCCAGATTGTGCTTTTTGCCACATGCCGGGCTTCCCTCTCGCAGCAGGGGCTCTTACAGACACACAGACAGACAGACAGACAGACAGACTCCCTGTCTCTCAGCCCCAGCCTGTTGGGACGCACCGTGCTCAGGGCTTTGGCTGACCACGATGACCAGCTCGCTGCTGTGCGTGTCCAAGTCCTGCAGGCTGAGGGAGGCGTTGGTCACCACCACGGCCGAGCTCTCCTGCAGCCGGACAGGCTCCAGCACCATCCTGGGGGGCTCGTCGTTCTGCCGCTGCACACAGCCAGCAAAAGGAACGTGAGCTCAGGGAAAGGCCCACCTGGCTGAAACACGAGCTCCCAAAGGACACAGCTGGTGCTGGCATCACCAGGGCCTCCAAACCTATCCAGCACCACAGCTGCTTCCAAGACAGAGGAGACACCAGAGCAGTAAGCCCTGGGGAAGAGGCTACAATGCACAACTGTCCCTGGGCATCACAGGTCAATTATGTGCCTGTGCTAGGGGAAGGAATCTTCCTTTAATTCCCCTTCCCACACACTAAAAAGGAAGGAGTAAAGCCTTGAAAAAGAGTTTGTGTGAAAGGAGAGGGCTCTGGCAGCTGGCATACCTGGATTGTGATGTTGATGCTCTGCACCTCTGACTGGCTGAAGCCATCACTCACATAGAAGCTGAAAGCGTCACTTGTGGGCTCAATGCTCTCATGGACGCTCTGGAAGTAGTAAATGCTCTTCTCCAGGACATCATGAAGAGAAAAGGACACGTCTGTGCTCCCCACAGACTCACTCTGTGGGCCAAAGCTCTCTCCTGCAAACCAGAATATCGCTGGTGAAAAGATGCTCAAATGGCTGATAAACTGAACAGAGAGCCAGCACATTGTGAAGGCTGCAGAGGAAGGGATGCTCCCTTCTACAGCTTGGCTTCCCACACCTAGTGGCCTTTGAGGGAGAAAACATCTGCTGCATTAGAGTGGGCCCTGGGGAAGCTGCAGTTTTTGTTGCAGCACAAGCCATCCCCTCCATGGGATATGACAGATGTCATCCTGTTAGGAGCCCAGAGGAGGACAGAAGGGAGTGCCCAGCAGTTTTACCTGTCCTGGTGTTCTCGATGCAGCCGTACACAGGCAGAGTGAGCACGGTGACCCTCAGGCCCTCCTTGGCAGCAGTGTCGTAGTCAGCAGCCCAGTGGTGATGGGCCAGCAGCGGGACCCTGCCCCCCTCATCCACCTGGGAAGCAAGAGCAGACAACACAAATCCTCACTGCACAAGGCTGCCTCCATGGGAGAGGCTGGCCCGGCGCTGGAGCGCTGTCCCGCCCTCCCCGGGTCTGCTAATCAGGAATTCAGCAGGGAGCTGAGGGGAGGTGGGGTGGGATGGGAAGAACAAAGCCCATCTGGCCTCCAAGAGGAGCCTGGACAGGACAGGAAGGGAACTGTCAGTGTCATGGTGACCTCCTGGAAGGCAATCCTGCAGCTCTTGTTGTGCAGAGCCTTTGGAAGGCAGGGAGGGGAAATGCACAGCTGGAAAGGAGGGAGATGACTTCCAAAGGCCTTGATAAGGAGTGTGAAATATCTGTGTCAGCCCAAAGCACCAGGTGTCTCAGACTTGAAGAGTCTCTTACGCATACACTGGTGAAATTAGGGATGAAATATTGAGTAGGGCTAAATGAGACTCGTTCCACTGATATCAAGAAGACACCCTAGGGACAAGCAGCTCCTGAGTGGACAGATATAAACAGATGAGGTTTGGGGAAGCAGATGGACTGTCAGCCTCCAAGTGCTTTGTCCACCTCTTGGGGGGCACAAGTAACACTACACTTCACTCAGTCACTTCCCTCAGTCCAGGAAAACTGTTCAGCTGCTCCCATCTGAGCCACGGCTGTCCTTGTCCCCAGGCACTCAGAGCCATGGCTGTCCCTGTCCCCAGGCACTCAGAGCCATGGCTGTCCCTGTCCCCAGGCAC